CGGTAGATGAGATACGTGCTATGATGGACAAAAAGAAAAACATCAGAAATATGTCTGTCATTGCGCATGTTGATCATGGAAAGTCAACTTTGACTGACTCCCTTGTGTCTAAGGCCGGTATTATTGCTGGTGCTAAAGCTGGTGAAACCAGATTTACAGATACTCGCAAGGATGAACAGGAACGATGTATTACTATTAAATCCACGTAAGTTTAATCTGTTTAATCTTATCAGTTGGTGTTTTTAACTGCCTACCTGCAAGTAATATTTTTAATTGCAGAGCTATTTCTATGTTCTTTGCACTTGAAGAGAAAGACTTAGTTTTCATTACAAACCCTGATCAACGTGACAAGGATGAAAAAGGTTTCTTGATTAACCTTATTGATTCACCTGGCCATGTTGATTTCTCCAGTGAAGTAACTGCTGCTCTTCGAGTAACTGATGGAGCTCTTGTGGTTGTTGATTGTGTATCTGGTATGTACTTTAAATGATGTAATTTGAATTAAACTAATACCCCTTCCAGCACAAAAAGCGTTACTCTGTAGTATATCAGTTGGTTAAACTGACTGATGCACATGGACAGTGTTGATGGTGCATCAATGGAAGAAGATTAAAATGATAGCAGCTGTGTTTAAACGCTGTTGGTGGACCTCTATCCTTATGTCCGAGACCAGCACGCTACGACACAATTGCTACAATTTTACTTGGAAGAATTTTGTTTTCTTTTTATAGCTTCGTGAAAATCATAATTTTTTTATACTTTGTCAAGGTGTCTGTGTACAAACGGAAACTGTACTTCGTCAAGCTATTGCTGAACGTATAAAGCCAGTGTTGTTCATGAACAAAATGGACAGAGCACTTTTAGAACTTCAGCTTGATAGTGAAGATCTTTATCAAACTTTCCAACGTATTGTTGAAAACGTTAACGTTATTATTGCAACATATTCGGACGATGATGGTCCTATGGGTGAAGTTAGAGTAAGTAAATGAATTAATTTTATTTCTATGTAACATTGTTTCTTACGTTTATATTAATATTCTTATTATGTTTGTTGCAAATAGGTAGATCCTAGTAAAGGTTCAGTCGGTTTTGGTTCTGGTCTTCATGGTTGGGCGTTTACATTAAAACAATTTTCTGAAATGTATGCTGAGAAATTTAAAATTGACGTTGTAAAACTTATGAATAGATTATGGGGAGAATCTTTCTTTAACCCCAAAACTAAGAAGTGGAGCAAGCAGAAGGAAACAGACAATAAACGCTCCTTTTGCATGTACGTCTTAGATCCAATTTATAAGGTATGTTAATCATTAACTACTTATAATAAATAAATATTCATTTTTTTTACTAATAACAATACAAAATTAAAACAGGTATTTGATAGTATAATGAATTACAAAAAAGATGAAGCGGACAACCTGCTGCAAAAATTAGGAATTGTTTTAAAACCGGAAGATAAAGATAAAGACGGCAAAGCTCTTCTTAAGGTAACTTTTTCTATATAAAACTATCATTTTAATTCATTTCAATGTTTTGGAAATATTTATGATGACTTCTAAAAAAAAAACTTTTCTGACATCTCTACAGAATTTCTTTGACCGATAATATTTTATTCTGATAATACTTTAGTTTTAATTAACTAATCAATAAATATCATGAGTGATTATATATCAGTATAATAATCCGTTTTAGGTTGTCATGAGAACATGGTTGCCAGCTGGAGAAGCTTTGCTTCAGATGATTGCTATTCATTTGCCATCCCCTGTTACCGCGCAGAAATATCGTATGGAAATGTTGTATGAAGGTCCGCTTGATGACGAGGCTGCAATTGGTATTAAGGTATGTATAAATAATATAATTTTAAGATAAAAAATATTAATTAGTTTTATTATATATGATGAAAATCTCACAGACCTGTTCTGACTTATATATGGTAGATATGAGTAGTAACTGATTGATATATGTATAGTTTAATTTTTAACTCAGCTTTAAAGCGAACTTGTTGATTTCATATCCGATTGGAATCTTATTTTACAGAACTGCGATCCAAATGGGCCACTCATGATGTATGTTTCGAAAATGGTACCGACCTCCGACAAAGGTCGCTTCTATGCTTTCGGTCGTGTATTCTCTGGGAAAGTAAGCACTGGAATGAAAGCACGTATTATGGGACCTAATTTCCAACCGGGTAAAAAAGAAGATCTTTATGAGAAAGCTATCCAGCGTACAATTTTGATGATGGGACGTTACGTTGAAGCGATTGAAGATGTGCCTTCTGGTCAGTAAATCCTTCATTTGGTTTCAAATCTTTTCAAGTAATAGTACAATGATGATTGTTTCTATCTACCTTTTGTTCTGACCTTTTCTGAATGACAATAGAACGGCCAACTGACACTTAAATTGATAATGTTAAAATGTTGTTTCATATAAAAAATGTAATTACAACAGATTATTTTTATCATTCAAAACAGGTAATATTTGTGGACTTGTTGGCGTTGATCAATTCTTAGTGAAGACTGGTACCATTACCACGTTTAAGGATGCACACAATATGAAAGTTATGAAATTTTCGGTTTCACCTGTCGTCCGTGTTGCTGTTGAACCTAAAAATCCAGCAGATTTACCTAAATTAGTTGAAGGTACATTTATTTATTGATTTAATATAATTTGTTATAATTTAATGTATAAATAAGGATGAAACCTTATTTTGAGCATTGGGTTATGATAAACCGTGATTTTAATTGAAAATCTGAAAGTGATCGTCATCTAAATTTTATTTAATAAAAGTGTTAATATTTTTTAACAAAATAATTCGTATTCAGGTCTTAAACGTTTGGCGAAATCAGATCCTATGGTACAATGTATTATTGAAGAATCAGGAGAGCACATTATTGCTGGTGCTGGAGAACTGCACCTTGAAATTTGTTTAAAGGATTTGGAAGAAGATCATGCTTGTATACCCATTAAGAAATCGGATCCCGTTGTTTCTTACAGAGAAACAATTTCGGAACAATCGAATCAGATGTGTCTTTCAAAATCACCTAATAAGCATAATCGGTTATTCATGATGGCGTGTCCTATGCCTGATGGTCTCGCTGAAGATATCGATAGTGTATGTTTCCATTCTATAAAAATTTATAATTGATATTCTTGTTTTGTTTCTATTAAATGTTTATAATCTTATAGGGTGAAGTTAATCCAAGGGATGACTTCAAAGTACGTGCTCGTTATTTGAACGAAAAGTATGACTACGATGTAACCGAAGCTAGGAAGATTTGGTGCTTTGGACCTGATGGAACTGGACCCAACATTCTTGTAGATTGTACGAAAGGAGTACAGTATCTTAACGAAATTAAGGATTCTGTTGTAGCTGGATTCCAATGGGCTACGAAAGAGGTATAATATCATAGATTAATGAAAAAGATATTCAGAAATAGTTTTTTATTTATAATTATTTCACAGGGTGTTCTTTCGGAAGAAAACTTGAGAGGTGTGCGTTTCAACATTCACGATGTGACGTTACATGCTGACGCTATTCATAGAGGTGGTGGTCAAATTATTCCTACCACAAGACGTTGCCTTTATGCTTGTCTTCTCACTGCCTCTCCTCGACTTATGGAACCAGTTTACTTATGCGAAATTCAGGTAAATTTAGTTTTATGATTTACTGAAGAATTTATAACTAGTATGTTAAATTTTTGTATTCTAATGTAATAAAATTGTCATAGTGCCCTGAAACAGCTGTCGGTGGTATCTATGGTGTGCTTAATCGAAGAAGAGGTCACGTATTCGAAGAACAACAGATTGCTGGTACACCTATGTTTGTAGTTAAAGCATATCTTCCAGTTAATGAGTCCTTTGGTTTTACTGCCGACTTGCGTTCTAACACCGGCGGACAAGCTTTCCCTCAATGTGTATTCGATCATTGGCAGATCTTGCCCGGTGATCCAATGGAACCTAATTCTAGACCTTATCAAGTTGTGCAGGTAATTTATCTGTTCTGTAATATTTATAATTACCCACGGTCATAACTGATGGTAATGAGTAAATGTCAATACATTGCCATTTTTAATCTCGTGGAAAAGAAACTGTTTTTTTGTTTTGGTATTCTAGTGACATATTCAAGTATACCTGAATAGGGAAACATACAAATTTATATCTTCCTTTTGTGAGACGTAATACATTTGACTACTATTAAGTGTAATAATCCTTGTTCTTACAGGAAACACGTAAAAGAAAAGGATTGAAGGAAGGTCTCCCAGATTTGAATGCATACCTTGACAAATTGTAACCATAGATTCGCGCACCATATTTAAATATCTATTTAAATATTGTAATTCAATTAATATTGCTCGGACCGTATACAATCTACATCGGTTTATTATGAACTTTGTTTTGCGCAAAGAAACATGAGAAATACATGATTATAAATATGAAAAAAAACAATAAATTGTAATTATGATGGAAAGTACGCACGTTGGCGCAAAGAGAAATATTTTATACATTTATTTAATTAAGCATGCCACATGTTATTAAGATCCCGGTGGCTTTATGTTTTTAGCATATCAGCATCAGATAAGAATTCAATTGTTATTTTTATTGTGGTGATAACTTATTGCCAATTTCATATAACAAATGAAAACAAAAGATTGTAATTTTTTACATTGCTTTTTTACCACAATTAGTTTTAATTTTTTGTTGATATTTTCAAATGATTGGACGAATTTCGAAGTTATTGATAACAAAAAATCTACAACAGCAATGTACTCATTGAAACGAAATGCATCAAGAAATTAAAAATGAAATTACGAGAGGAAGTGTTTTTATTGTCTTTGTTAAAAATACCCAACCATTCCAAAATCTGATAGAATTAGGACAAGTAAAAAAAAGTTATGTTCAAATTGTGTATAAATTATGATTTTATTTTAATAAAATATACTATAGTGTCAATACATCTAATATTAATAATTCATATGTGATGAAATAATCACATTCAACATACCAAACCTATTTTTTTTATATATTTCGACTTCATTCCATTAATTTTTTGTACATATTACCACATATAATTAAAATACATTTCCTTAATTTATAAATACTAATTTAATAAGTATGTTACGTTAATTGAATTGGATTTCAACAATGTGATGAAATGTTAGCTACTCGTAAAAAGTAAGAGTCTAAGAAATAAATTTTGATAATTGATTCAAGTTACTCTATAAATTATTATAGTTGCATTTACAAAAACGCAATTCATTGATAAATTGCATCGATGTATTTTTCATAAAAATTTAGATGGGATTAATTGTGTTTTTGTAGATGCCAGCTAGTGATTGAGCTGCTAAAAGTATAATGTCTCTTCTGGAAATTCCTGTAAGTGCATGATGCCATTCATTGTGAGAAACCTTCAAAGATATATTACTTTTTTAGAATTATAATTATACAATTACCGTGTTTACTTTATCTATACCAACCTGTAAACTGTTTGCCATTAAACTACCAACAGTAACTGACAATCCAGACCATTTAAGAGGATAATCTTCAGGTGTGGCTTCTTGTGCCATTGTTACTATTTGACTTGGCACTGGAGTCATTTGAGTGAACGTTTGCAAATTCACATTACGTTTCGGATCATTAAGAAGTATCACCCCTAAATCATACCATTTATCTTCACCAACTTCTAACAGAAAATTTTCTACTGCAATTATAGGTATATCTTTTGGAAGAGTCGGAATATTTCGAGCAGAATTAATTCTTTCTTCTGCTCCTTTCACACCAGCAGCAAAACCAACTGGTTGAGCAGCTACAGCTGAACTTTCCACTGATATACCACTACAAAATAATCAACTCTTTTAATGAAAATATAACAGTATAGAATTAAATGAATACAATTCATAATTATTACTCACGTTACTGTTGCCTTCCCAAAAACTGTTTGAAAAGCCTGACGAACAGAACTTATTTTAACATCTTTATCTGATGCAACTACAATCTCCATATCACCACCAGAATCTGAAAAGTATATTTTCCACAGAGCCTGCATATATGTTTGTAAATGAACTAACATGTTGCACAGTCACGATGTTGCTATTTACATTCACATATAAATAGTGTAGAATCTATATATTGTTCCTCAAATTTTAATTGCCATTTTATTAAAATACAATGAAATTATTACAAGTTGTTTTCAACAATTACTTCTCCACAACACTGTGCATAGGCATATGTTAATGAAAATTTTACTTATAAAGTTACTTTAATTATTATTTTTAATTATCACTTTATTTGTAATGCAAATTGAACAATCACTCTATTTTATGTATGATTTGGAACACAATTTCACATATATAAATGTTATAATTTCAGCTACTTAATAAATGAAAAATAAGGAGGAAAAATATTTTGTAAATGACAGATAAACAGCACACAGCACAGTTCACTAAATTAAGTTTGGTTTTTAGATCATCCAAAAATAACACAGTACATATATATGTTCCTTTCAGATATGATGCAATAATATAATCTAATAGATACGATGACATACATTTAGATAGGAAATTGACAAAACACTCAAGCCAGGTGAAATGATCAAGAAATTTACAAAATAGAAAAGGATTAAATTGCTTTTACTTGCATGTCAGGATTAGTAGCTTTCTTACTTACAAATGAACTCACGCATCTGAGGATCTAATGTTGTGATCATAGTATTAACACTGTTCTTTGCTTTTTCTGCAACTTTGCTTAATACATTACTATTTACTACTGTTTCTTTAACCCATGACAGTAGACCACCTCCAACCATTCCTGAATCTTGGACTATATTTTCTGATGGCACTGTAGTTTGTACATTTTGTATGGACGGAGTAACAATAGGAGTTGTAATTACTTGATGTGTTTCTTGCTGTAATGGTTTAGATTGAATAACAGTATTTAACATTGATTTATTAGGTTCCTGTTCATGAAGCTTCTTTTGTGAAGATGATTCTAAATTATTAGGCCTTTCTGATAACAATGTTCCAGGGTTTGAAATAAAAATAGGCAATGCACTAGGTGGTGGTACATTTGATAACAAATTTCCTGTAGATGTTGACACACCTAATGGCATTAATAAAGATGTTGATGAAGACAAACTGCTAAAAGAATCTGGAAATTACATTATTTATATTACTTATATAAATGACACATTGTCCTGATACATTAGTGTATCTGAATAAATAAACAAACCTTCATCAAGTAATAAGTTATTTTGTCCTATTTACCAAATAAAATTTATTGTTCGTTTAAATAGTATATCATAGAATGTTTTACCATAAGATACATAATTACATTCATTTTATGTTATAATTTTTTTATGTTTATTATATTTCTCAAGAATTAATTTTTTATAGTTTTCTTCCAAAATCTTTTGCACTACACGGAAAATTAGCAGCCAATTAGAGTGAACATGAATCTTTTTACTTGCGAAGGAATTTGACAGATACGCAGGTGTTTATGTTTTGCCTTTCATTCTTACCTGTTTTTACGATTTCTCCAGATGTAGACGATTCATCTGTTCTTCTTTCGACAAATTCGAATGTGGATTCTCCATTGGAATCGTCAGTCATCGTTGATTAACTTTTCTAAATTTACACGTTAAATGTCCAAAACTATATTGTGAATTTTCTATACGCAGCTATGTATGCAAAAGACATAATATGTACATGGATTGACTATGTACAATTATGAGCTGCAAGCTACAAGCTGCAAGTGACCAACTTCATCATCTTGAAACAGTCTGAAGATGGAAACTAGTCTACATGTATACATATTCACATATATTCCTATATCTTATATCTATTATTTACTTTATTTGAGTGAATGAAAATTTTATTTAGTTAGAAGTTAACTTTTTTTGTTATTTGATAGTTTTCGACGCGTAGGATCCAAAAATTCAAGTCTTAACTTTAGAAATCAAGCGGTTCAAGAGTTATCCGTACGTAAAATTGAGCATTTTTAGCGTATTTTATAGGTTAGCATGATGCTATATTACTTCTGTAGTGGCACGCGAGTCAGGACAATTCAAATTCTGTTGTTGTTTTGCCTCGGAGTATTAAGATCGTTAGGTTACAAGTATTGTAAGGATCAATAAACTCCGGGCAAAACAATGTCGCCGCTACATACAACCGCCAAACGTAGTCGAATACAAATTTTCCACCAGTATAAATAAACGGACGCGATCACGAGCGCGAGAGTTCATCGAACAGTGTCCGAAGAGCATCAAAGTGTAAATAAGTTTCGAAGTGATCTACAGAGTTTCTCCGAATATTTATCGGGTATTTATTCCGCAATTTATATTTGTACCAACGACTCACAATTTGCCTGTAATTTATTTATTTATTTGAAAATATATTTAACGGATTGCGACAGCAATATTTCGCTTTTGTTATTTCGCTCAACCAAATAACGACTAATCCTCCACACTTCTATTCATCATCTCATTAATCCGTACTACGAGTACAGATGAGTATTGGACTGACTTTCGCCGAATATTAGCTTGTTCTAACGTAACGGCGGCAGAAGAGTGGAGCATAACTTAAACCTGCCCAAACCTAATCCAATACTCATGATTCACGATTTAAAATCCCGCCGCAAATGCACCCACGTTCATTTGTATACATACAGCGACTCCAGTTATTGGACCAATCATGCATAGAAGCCAACATAGCATCAAAGTAACGCATACGCTAAAAATACGCTAAAAACACTTGATTTTATATGCATATGATATCATAATTCTTGAACCACTGGAGTCCTAAAGTTAAGACTTGCATTTTTGGATTCCACATGGCGAGAACTACCATAATGTATAAAAGAAGTCAATAATTTTATGTTCTCTAAACCGAAGTACAGCTGAAGTTATACATTTATGATAAAAAAAGAAAAAATATATTATCATAGTTACTGATTATATTACACATATTTTACTGATTATATACCCATTAATGTTTATTTTACAATTAGTATATGTTTTACATGCTATTTATGCAAGGAATGAAGAAAATAAAAATTTTTTATTTTATAAACAATATATTTACCAACATGATATCATTTACTTTAAGTAACCATATTTATCAGTATTAAAAACAATATATAATGTATCAATATATGTATTAGTGTTTGATGAAGCGGATTAAGGTTATGTTCAGCAACATGTTACTCCTTTACTTCGAATAATTAGCGTATACGTAGTGAAAGAGAAATACTAAGCAAAATAATGTCGCTCCAAGAATATTGCAGAATACAGCCAACTGTACATCTGTGATCATCTGAAAGGTTATGAGATTAACTCTTACCGGTCTATATCTTTGATTTAACGAGAAAATGTTTAAAATTAAATAAAAAAATATACTTAAAGGACAAATTAATCAAAAGGGACATAATTACCTTGAAAAATTATTTTATAATACACAGTTCAATATGTTTAAAATACATACGTGGTTTGACACGTTATACTCTACAACTCGTTGATTATGTGTCACAGAGTTGTAATCATGAATCTCTTTACCTGTAACAGAATTTTCTCGAAGACTTGCTTGTCGATATCTATGAGATAAAAATATAAAATAACAAAATATTATAAAATATATGGTATTTTACGTTGTGTTTGAAAAATGGATTGATAAATACATATTAGTAATATGTATTATATTTTATATATATCTTAAATTAATATTACCAAATATTACTAGTTAGGGCTAAAATATAACTAGCAATATAATACCAAAAAGGAAATCTCCTCTCTGATAATACATGAGCGCGCGATTATTCTAATTTTTTCTAGGATATATTTACAATTATTATGATATGTTGTTATGTTTTATTAGCGTAGTAAATATATTTAGTCAATTTTTAAGTTTTGTTAAATACATTAACAATATACACGTCGAAAGACAATATGCTGATTCACTATACTAATAACAATGTACTTTTATGCACTGGTTCATTGAAATTCATTCAAATAATATACCGAAAACGCAAAGGTTAAAAAATAAGGGAAAAGGTTTTTCGATAGATTTAGCATTAATCTGACTATCACAAAAATTTTAAATGTATTTTTTCTTTATGTGCTTAAAGTAATTGTAAAGAATGTTAGTAATATTACTTGTATTGTACAGTATTTTCCCTCCTTTCTAATACGAACACGCTAAATAAATATTGTAAAAAATTAGTGAATTGGAATTATGATGTTTATATAATTTTGATGTTTATAAAATATTGAATTATAAGAATTTAGTTTTCCGATATTTTGACAGTGGGCTCTTTTTAAGAAAAGTTTTCCAAGTTTTTACCTCCTAACCTCTACGTGTATCGATGCACGCATAAATATTTACTGGATATTATTTTATTCTGTAATACTAAAACGTATCAAAAATGTTCGAAGCACACAGTATTAATGCGGAACATAAAGACTTGATTCATGATATTGCTTATGATTTTTATGGACAACGAATGGCAACATGTTCTAGTGATCAATATGTGAAAGTGAGATTTATACTCTTGTCGTTTGTATTCATACACAGTAACATTATCATAGTCATATATGAGGGTTATGAAATTTGTATAGGTCTGGGATGAAGACGAACATGGAAATTGGCATTTATCTGCATCTTGGAAAGCACACAGTGGGTCTGTGTGGAAAGTAACATGGGCGCATCCAGAGTTCGGTCAAGTTCTAGCAACATGCTCTTTTGATAGGACAGCAGCTGTATGGGAAGAGATAGGTAGAACTATTATTTTTGTGATTAACTAATAAACAAATAACTATGTTATTAATTTTACTTAGTTGGAGAAGGATCAGGACCAGGAGAACGTGGCATGAGACATTGGGTTAGGAGAACAAACTTAGTAGATTCTAGAAAGTCTGTTACAGATGTGAAATTTGCACCTAAAACTTTAGGACTTTTGTTAGCTACGTGTAGTGAAGACGGTGTAATTAGGATATATGAAGCACCTGATGTTATGAATCTAAGTCAATGGACTCTACAACATGATATTAGTTGTAAACTTCAATGCAGTTGTCTTTCATGGAACCCATCTCTCTCAAGGTATAATAAATTGCTATTGAATTCCTATAATATGTATTGTAGATATAGGTGTCAAATATTCCATTATTTCACATTAGGTTACATCATCCAATGATAGCAGTTGGAAGTGATGATCCAAATCCATCATCCGAGGGAAAAGTTTTTATATATGAATATTCTGAAAGTAGTAGAAGATGGACAAAAACTCAAACATTAAATATCATAGATCCTATTCATGATATAGCATTCGCTCCAAATTTAGGTAGAAGTTTTCACACATTAGCTATTGCATCAAAAGATGTGCAAATAATTATATTAAAACCTATGGTGTGAGTATAAGTTTTAGAATTCGTACAAACATGATGTGTATAAGAGACTACATGAAGATGTTATTGATATAGGGATAATGCACAAAGTGGTTCATCACGGTTTGAAATTAATGTAGCAGCACAGTTCTCTGATCATGATTTTACTGTATGGCGAGTGTGTTGGAACATTATGGGAACTATTCTAGCAAGTTCAGGAGATGATGGTTGCGTTCGATTATGGAAAGATAATTATATTAATAATTGGAAATGTGTTGCTGTGTTGAAAGGTGATGGTACCTCTGCTCAAAGTGCTGAAACTTCTACAGCGGCAACACCACCCAATCATTCAACAGGAATACAACAAACATCTTCTACAACAAGGTACTACAAATTGGGTTCCATCAGTCATCCAAACCAAGTGCCTTGGCATTAGAGAAAATGATTTATTTTTTAACATACTTAGTCGTTTCATGTTTATTATTTCGTACAATGTGCACACATTTTGTGAGAAATAGTGAATTTGTATTTCTATCATGAGAATTATCTTTATTTTTTTAACAAAATTATACATCTTTTATTTTTAGTAGTTAAATAGATTTCTATTAATTATGATTTCATAGCACCGTACATTACCCTATTGATTTAGTAATTTGTATTCTTTTGTTGAATAAAATAAGTATAAAGTGTATGTTCCACTAGAAACATTTATAATAACTCCTATCTTATATATAATAACTATTAAAATAACTTTATTGTCTATTCATATCCATTTGAAACAAATTGCTACTTCAAAAAGAGCGGTACCTTGCTATTTGGAATTAGTAAGGAATATATTGTTAAAGAGATTATTAATTGAGAGTATTTTATATCTTGTAATATAACAAAATTCATTAAATGATAAATTTTAGGTGTGTTAATCTCATATATACAGTTTTGCTCAGCATTAAAATTATTGTAAATATTGAATTATTATATATGTACACTTTGAAAAATATTTTACAAAAGACATATATTTCATTCAATTTGTAACGTATTTTTTTCATTAATAAATGCTGAATATATATTACAATACACCTTTTTATTTTTACCTACCTTGAAGTATCGAATAATTCTCAATGGAAAATAATTGTTGATAAGTCCTTTACGTTTTTGGTAATAGTAGATTACCTTACAGTAAGTTTTTTACTGTTATTTTAATCAAGATTTATGTTCTGTTTGTAGTATATTTTAATTATATATTGATGACTAATGTTTAAATAAATTTTATTTCGCTTTCAGAGCAGTAACTATAGCAACTGTCACTGCAGAGAAGCCTACAGTTACAGTTATGTGCAGCAATAAATGGCAGGCACCTGTTATAAAAGGTCGTTTTAGTAAATCTGTTTGGTTGGGAAATCCTAGTGAACCAACACCACCTCCACCTCCAATCTTAGAGTATCCAAAGGCAAAAAAGTAACACAGCTATTCAATTTTTGGTAACATTAAAAAATGCGAAGACAAATGACTTTATATTCTTATGTTGAATGATTTAAAAAATTAATTCAAAGAATATGATATGCTACCTTTTATGCACTTGAGAATAATATTTTTATTTTAAGGAGAGTTCATAGAACTAAGATATTTCCAGACATGTATTTACCGTCATTATAATGATATGGTAATAAACAGCAATAGTTAATTATGCGTAAGTATTACTGTTATGAAACTTGTATATATACATTTTGACTGATTTTAGCGAACATTACTTTTTATTACTACATGACATATTCGTATTTAATTAAAATAAAATACATTCACAACAGAGATAAAGAAGTTCACTTTCCTCTAAACTAAAATACAACGAACTCTTCAATTCAAATAATATTAATCTATAAAGCGGAAAGGCAATCTTGGTCAAATTAGAAGCTAAAATTTTAAAAATTATTATACTCCAGCACCAGCATACATTAATTATATACATAAAAATTCCTTATTTCATTAATTTATTATTTAAATTAAACGACATTTCTTAATAAAATTGAAGTATTGAAAAAGGCAACTAAAACATAGTTGAACAATTAACGTAGTAGTTACGAACATCCGTCAATTGACTTCGAAATATTTGGTAGCTTTGTCACGAGATTAATACGTGCGCGAAATTTTAACGGTTCAAAGCAGTTTTATAGTTATATATGTTCAAACTATCCGTAAAGTTATTCAATTTTGTTTTGTGTTATAAGTAACGGCTAAAAGAATTCATTTAAATCATCATACACTATGAAACGTGTAACTGAACCTGTTCGTAAGAGCCTGCTGGACGTCATCAGGAAAAATCTTCGTGCTGCTGGTAAGGTAAAGCTCTAACTTAATTTAATTATTAATCCTTTAGTGTATTTATGTAGAATACGAAGATAACAGCATAGTTAGGCATTTTGTCAAAGTACAAATAAGTTAGTGTTTTCGTTGTTTGAATATACTAATTCATACCGAAGCGCCATCTACTCTCATCGATTCAAATTTTCGAATCTGTACATTCTAGAACAATTTAAGAACATTGTATTATTTGTAGGTTTCATATATAACGCGCGTTGTGTATGTTGGAGCATATATTGGTACAGATACGAGTATAGAAAAGGTATGAAATTAGTAGAGTTAGTATAGATTATGACATACACGTTAATTATAGGAGACGTTGAAATAGTGTAATATCATACAGTATTTTTACTATCCGTATAAAAAATATAATTTCCAGAAAATGAAATCTATAATACAGGACTTGCAAGCAGATTATATGAATAATTCCATTAGTGGATTATTTCTGATTTATCCGGATTATTACGTTCACGCATTAGAGGTGTGTGAATGGAACTTCTATTTTTAAATTAAATTTCAAGATTTGAATTTGGTTAGACACATTAGTGATTTCACAAACAAAAGTGGATTCTTTTAAAACTAACTTAAAACTAAAAAATAGATTCTCTTAACATAGGCGCCAGAAGATATAATTTATAGGCATTTCAAAGTATTGTACAATAACCAAACAGAGGATTGTAAAATAGGAAAAGCAATTTTTCTTCCAACTTATCATCATGTCCATCAAGTAAGGCTTTTACAATAAATCAAAAAGGAAGGGAATAAGATTTTTCAATTGGAATTTACAGAGATTTTTTACGGGGTGGTACCACGCGTATATAATACCACCTACTTTAATACAGCCGTTAAAATCATACGAATTGGGTGATATCCAACAGCAAATGTTAAACTGTTTCAATAAAGTATATATGTTGTGTGATCATATCTCAAACACACATCACGATCGCGTAAGTTCTTCTGTTAGTGAACTAATGGGTGAAGTTTGCTCGTTTCATAGATGCGATGATTAAGTTTATTGGTCGGTTTTAAAACTAACGGAAATCTTTTTCTTAAAAAGTCAGTTTCGATACAGGAAGTTATAAGATCGTTGAGTGACAAACTTACACGACTTTATCCCGAGAGTACGTTGTTAGAATATTTATTGAATGCAGAAAGCCCTGTGATTTTAACTGTTGAAGAGTATTTGAACATATATTCCACAGTTCCATTCATTAACCTTTATTCAGGTAATAACATCATTTGTATTAATTGTCTGTTGATAATTTACGAGTAAAATTTTTATATATAGTATAAATTTCTAGCAAAGTTTTATTAACAGAAAGAAGAAGGATTGATTGAATAAAAACGATTATTTATTTCAGAGTATTTACAATATCAAAAAAACGTCTCTTTTTATGGAGTACATGAAATTTGTGTCGGATATCGCTAAACTAATTACATATACAAACTTTATTCAAATGGTTTCACTTTTTTTTTCTTTTGGTTTTCCTTCGCGAAAGCAGCTGGTCAGACTCAATCGTTAAAGATGTACAGGCGATATACGGCTGAAACGGTGCTTTCATTTACTTTTATTAGTCTAAAAAGATTTCTTTGGCTCTTATCCCTGGCTACTATAAGATACATAGTAACGAAGCAAATTGGTGTGTAAACGCTGGTCGGTATTATTGGATATTTTGTGGTCATCACGCGAATTCCAATAAACATTTCTCTGTAGAAACGCAATCAAATTTTCATACATTAACTAACAAATAATACGCAAATTTCTCATTTTAAACGGGATATCCTACCGTTTTAACAGGTATAAAGTAACACACAACGTGTAATATAGCATCTCTTAGATCGTTTATAATATATTCATTATTCGTGGAAGAAAATGGAATATGATTCGCGGTGTAGAAAAGTAGATGGTATCTCGTACAAAGCTTCCGAGGTAAAGATTTTTTACGCTAGATGTAGTTTAACCCATTCACTGCCAACTACGAGATATCTCGTACCTTGCGCTACAAATTTAGATTGATTGCAATTGGTGACGGTCTAAATTTGAGTTTGGAATTTGAGTTTGGAAACGAAAATTTTATATAATAATATTTTATACATAATAATATTTATATAATAATATATAGATTTTATGAAATTTCATGTTTTCTTGAAAATAAAATCTTGGCGCTCAGGATAACATGCTCTAAATTTGCCCGGCAGTGAATGGCTTACAAACTTGTTGATTATTCGTAAAATTTACCAAATACACCTGGACTCAAATCGAAAGTTCCTTTAAGTGCACGTGTACCTACTTGAATTTTTACGATCGATTTCCTCAAAAATTCAAAGTCATTAATTGGTCTTTGCTCGAGATATCACTTCTTTTTGGATTCTACTGCCGGCGAATTACTTCCCATCCTGTATAACACAGTTAAGCACAAATCAACAAGAGAACCGTATTTTATAACTCGAATATTCATTTCTCATCACATTTCGATTCCTACAAACGAAAGCAAGTGTTTGCCATTTACAAATAACACAACACAATAACACAATAACCAAAACAAAGACCAGGTTTTTAAACGAATGATATATGTATTACACAGTCATTTTGAGGGAGCTACTTTTTCAACGAGTCTCGACGATTTATACAATTTACATACACAAGGACCACAAGATGTTTCGCATACTGACCAAATGATTCTGCGCTAGAAGAGCAGCCTCGTGCAATACCAAGAAACGCCTTTAATATTCAGAATGACAACGATTATCTTGCAGATACCATCTGGCCGGCGCCTCGTGACTTGATGTTCTGTACCGGGTTCGAGAAGGAGGATCGTAATAGTATTGATTCGACGAACCAAAGACGTTATACACGCAGGAATACGTTACGTTAAAAATTTGCAAAACTTCATTTGGTTAATTTGGTTATCGACTTGGAATGCCTGTTTTCCGAGCAACGCAGCATACATGTTGGTCGACCTTAAAAAAGAAAAATGAAAAGGGGAACGAAAAGCGATTTGTTTTCGCTATAGTAATGCGTTTTCTCGAATAATAGAACATGATGGTGAAAAGAAATCCCAGTCGATACCGATACCGTCCGGTTTAGACCGTTTCGTCGATACAATTACAGAGAATTGTACACGAATAAATTATCAAAAGATTTATTGGCAGTTTGCTTTGAAAATTTATTGCGCTCCTAGCGAAACTCGTTAAGGTCCCGGGATCGTTTGTCGTCGAAACGATACTAGCACGCCACTATCGTGCCGGGATGAGTTCGTGTAGATTTTTTTTTGTTTTCTGTTCAGCCTTTCAGCGTTAAACGTTTAATACAAGGTGAAATAGGCGTTTCGTAACGATTAGTAGAGTTCCCCTTAGTACACTGGCTATGAGCCAACATCAATTCCATCAATGGCAATAATAAATAACGAGATTCGCGCATTTCACTTTCGGCGCGAGACATATTCATCCTTCTTTTTTTTTTTAAATCTTTTTAAATATTAAAGTCAGACACCGTGACTTCAAGGATAAAACTTAACGACTAGCGATCGAAAGAACACATTCATCTAGAGGACTCGAGAAAACGTCTAATTTTCGATAATTGTATTTACACGAGTGACTCGTGAAAAACCACTGTCCGCCATTTCCTATCACCGTGTCACACCGAATTACTTATACATACTGAGTGTCCAGGTCTTTCCGCGTCTTCTCCTTCTCTTCTTCTAATCTTTTCTTCGGTTTCGTTTAAATACACGCATACACACAGATGTGTTTATCGTTTATTAGGGAAAAGTGCAGACATTTACAGAGCGAAGCGGAAAGCTTTCTCTTTCTCGCTTCTGCAGTTTTAAGAGCTTAACAATTAAGGAAGCTATACACACTTGTTTTCTCTTTTCTCGCACGAGCTTCTAGTTGCGATCCGTGGATAAAAGCCATACTCGTAACACACTTTCCTTACCACTTGTCAAAGTATACCATCCTTGAGTTAATCTTGTATGGAGATCTTTAACCTTTTCGATCGTCATGGTACAACTTACAGTCAGAAAATTTCGCAACGATGCTCGTAAAATATATCGAGTATGATCTTTTATAATAGAAATATTAAGGTAGTATGAGTTAAAAAAAGAACTCTCTTCTGCTGAGTTTATTCATTCTTTCAATAAAAAAATAATAATAGTAATAATGAAATTTGTCAAACTTTCTGCATGTAAGTTACCATAAATAAATATCGACGATCTCCGAAGGAAGAAGCAACTCGAAATTTTTACCAAGTATCGAAACAGATAATAGTACAATTTTTAGGAGCAAGACGAGGTTCCATTCGTTTCCTTCCCCCTCTTTATGTTTTCTTTCACCTCAAACCATTACGCAGAGGGAAAATCGTTACTTTATACATCATACAGATACCGTAATTTTACAATAAAATCCAGAATACTGCATACTGACGAAAGCAATGGGGATCTCTTTATGTTCGTTCTCCTTTCTTCTTTCTTTTTTCAATTTTCCTTTTCCTACATTTTTCTTCCTTTCGCGCTCGATACAATTTGTTTCTAACGTCTCGTCGTTAATTTCAATTTTTTCGGTGATGGAAAGCTGAACGATATGTCTTCTGTGTCCTCGTTTCTTTTTTTTCCCTCCCCCACCCCTATTTAACGTCGAACACGCACGCACACGAAATTCTTGTTCCCATTGACTGTTTTAATTTTCCTATCTCGTCACATCGTGGGGCATCCTCAGTGTACGTTATTCTGGCTGCCTCGACCGATTTTTATACTCATATACATGATTTATACTTACAACGACTAAATGAATTAATTGTACAGTGTGTATTTTTCCTCCCTCATTATTCTCTTTTCTTCCCCTTTTTACCATGATAAAAGGGGGAATAAATTGTTATCTCTTTTTCATATCTATTTTTTTGTTTGTTTCATCTTTATACTATAGCAATCTGTATAAAATATCCTCCGTATTCAAGGTATATGTACAGCACGTGCGAAATCCGTGCATATGTATAAGTATATTCTCTATCAATAATTCGTTCCCGGTTGCACATGCACGCCTTTTACAACGCACGGTAATCTCCGACATTTCTCTCTTTTGCTTTTCTCCTCTTTTGTTCTTCTCTTCTCTCTCTCTCTCTTTCTCTCTTTCTCTCTTTTGTTTAAATGTATTCACACTGGCTCGAGAATCGTCCGTTCAATGTAAAAAGGGCACTTGATCGAACAGAGAGACGTAAACGCGATGCTATCGCTGGGGAGGAAATACATTCGTTCGAAATACAACCGGCCTCGTTTCCGATTTGCGTGTGAATCTGTACGTATCAGCTCCATTCTTCGCTCGTATCGCATCCGTATACGCAACTGTCGAACGTCTCCTAGGCTCCCAAACGATACGCATGATTTGGTCGAGGAATGTACAGGGTCTGTTTGTCGTAAATGATCGATGATACGACCATGCTCTTTACTCGTTAACTGTCGAAGAAGAATACCATTAACTATTCGAGCTGTCTCTCAAAATTAACGATCTTCGTGAAGTACCCTGTTTTAATAGGTAACGATTCTTTTGATATTTTCAAGGTCGCGTAATTCTCCCCCGCCATTTGGCTATACCTCCCTCCACCTTTATTTATACATTTGTTTACTTGCTTACAATACACGATAGTAGGAGGAAAAAGATTAATAACGCTAGATTCGTGAAAAGATTCGCTCGGTGTAATCGGAAGGATCAGCGATCTTTTTGTATCTCGTCTGTGGCTCCCGATTACTGTAACAGAGAACACGTTCGACACGGAATAACTTTTATTATCCATCCGTACGTTCCAACGATGCCGTCAACTGCGTGTACCTGTTACCAGAAAACTTTCGGCACTGATACGCGGCTCGAGAAACAACACGTCAAACGATGCTTGCTCACACGTGGCTGGTCTGCGAGCGACAAAAATGTCACACGGAGCTCTCCCTTTTCGCCATCACGATCGGTGTGCTTATCTTGCCATCTTTCTGCGACTGAATGCAACACTGCGCTGGAATCCTCGCCTCCATGTCCTTGGTCATCAAGGTGCCGCTGGGACAGGTCCTGCTGACGACACCAACACCAGTGTAGAGTATCGGTGGGCTCATCGTCATCGACATTGATTGAACGCTTTGACTCGGCCAGTGTTGCCTCGGCAAAGTGCAAACGCCGCTTTGATAGTCATCGCCCACTATCGGCTGAAACTGTAGTTCATGCGTGCTGGATGATCGATGGTTTTTGAATGTTTTAGTTTGAAATTATGGTCATTAAGTATGGATGGGATAGTAATCGTTTTATCGTAGTGTCATTTAGAACAAAGCTAACCGTTAGAGTCGATTGTACGTATACAGTATAGAATATAGAGGATTTTATGAGCATTATGAGAGAAATTACTATAGAGAGTGTGGCAGGACGCGAATAGATTATTTCATATGAAAAACTAAGTTAAAAACGTGGAATGAAATGTACATGATCGGATGAGACGATACGCTTTGAACGTTTCAGTTTGAAATTGTCATTAAGAATTGATAGGATAGTAATCGTTTTATCATATTTTCGT